GCCCATAATTTTTTTAGTTTTTTAATTTTTTATTGCAAAGATACTGTACAGAGGGTTACAGTTACATGAGTAAGGTAGTGAGTTCATTTCCTATCGAGCATTGTTACTCCCTCCTTTGTTTTCCCCCTATTATCCCTTCCCTCCCCTCCTCCCTAACTCCTCCCTCCCCCCCCAACTCCAAAGTTGTAAAGTTTGTTTTCAACATAGTGTCTTGTACATCTCGTTGTTACAATGGGTCAACCTGTATCCTTGTTTCAGCATTTTGTTATTTCCCTTCCCCTCCCCAAGTTAGAAAAATGTATATACAAGATGCAGGGCACCAGAATCAAATGCAGTGAAAACAGGGGCTATACCATAGGGGAAGAACATACAAAAGAAACAAAAAAATCACAGTACATTAAAACAACAGCAACAAAGAAAAAACCTTGTGTCCATATCTTGGGGTTTATTTCACTTAGCATCATCTTATATGGTCATATGTACATAGATTTTGACCTTTTCTGCTTGTCTGGTAAGATTACCCTAGATGTATACTAGTTATTGCAAATAAAGGAAACCATGGGACCTATGTTTCTTTGGATCTGGCTTACTTCACTTAATATAATTTTTTCCAAGTCTTTCCATTTCCTAACAAATGGGGCAATGTCATTCTTTCTGATGGAGGCATAGAATTCCACTATATATATATATATATATATCACATTTTCTTGATCCATTCATCTACTGAGGGGCATCTGGGTTGGTCCTATGGTGAATAATGCTGGGATAAACATAGTTGTGCTGGTAGCTTTAGTATGGCCTTGTTTGTGATGTTTTGGGTAAATGCCCAAAAGTGGGATTGCTGGGTCATAGGGAAGCTCTATGTGGAGTCCTTTGGGAACCTCCATACTGCTTTCCAGAGTGGTTGAACAAGTTTACACTCCTACCAACAATGTAGTAGCATTCCCTTTTGGCCACATCTCCTCTAGTATCTGTTGTTATTAGATTTCTTGGTTATAGCCATTCTAACTGGGGTGAGGTGGAATCTCAATGTTTTGATTTGAATTTCTTTTATGGCTAGAGAAGTTGAGCATTTCTTTATGTGTCTATTGGCCTTTTTTTTTTTTGATCAGTCATAGGGCTGGAACTCGGCCTGAGCACTGTCCCTGAGCCTCTTTGTGCTCAGGGCTAGTGCTCTACCACTTGAGCCACAGCGCCACTTCCAGTTTCCTGGTTGTTAACTGGAGATAAGAGTCTCATGGACTTTCCTGCCCGGGCTGGCTTTGAACCACGATCCTCAGATCTCAGCCTCCTGAGTAGTCAGGATTACAGGCATGAGCTACTGGTGCCTGGATTTGCCTCTGTCTTTGAGCCATTCTCCCCTGAAGCTTACAGATGATAAGAATGAACAATAAGTTGCTGGGAATGTGGCCTAGAAGTAGAGTGCTTGCCTAGCATGCATGAATCACTGGGTTCAATTCTCCAGTACCACATACACCGAAAACACCAGAAGTGGTGCTGTGGTTCAAGTGGTAGAGTGCTAGCCTTGAGCAAAAGCAGCTCAGGGACAGTGCCTCAGACCTGTCAAGAAAAAAATAATGAACAGTAAAAGGGGTATAGATAAAGACATCAGTGAAATCAGAGAGAACACAGCAATTGACAAAAAGTAATCCCATTTGTCAAACCTTCCTTTGATTTGTTGTGCTTCTGGGTCTTTATTAAGAAACATAATTTTTTTAAAAAACAGTCTCAAATTTCCTGCAAATTTATTTTTTCCTGCAAATTTATTTCATGTTTTTTTGAATGTTTTTCTTCTTTCTCTACGATGTCTACTCTATCTTTAAGCCTAGAAATTCTGTATTGTATCTGCTCTGCTGGAGAGGCTTTCTAAAACTTTATATCTCCTGGATAGTGATTTGATTTATTTATTTTCAAGATTTCTATCTTTTCATTGAGATTATTTTTAACATCTTGCATTGACTTCTTTACTTCACTTTTTGTTTATATTTGTTTTCTTTGATCTCTTTTAGCTGCTTAGCTGTATTTCTTTTACTCCTATAGCTATTTATTTATATTTGCTTGATTTTCATTTAGCCTTTTAATTCTTGCTGAGTTTATTAAGTCAATTGCTATGTTCTCTCTAATTTCACTGATGTCTTTATCTATACCCCTTTTGTTGTTCATTATTTTTTTCTTGACAGGTCTGAGGCACTGTCCCTGAGCTGCTTTTGCTCAAGGCTAGCACTCTACCACTTGAACCACAGCACCACTTCTGGTGTTTTCGGTGTATGTGGTACTGGAGAATTGAACCCAGTGATTCATGCATGCTAGGCAAGCACTCTACTTCTAGGCCACATTCCCAGCAACTTATTGTTCATTCTTATCATCTGTAAGCTTTATAGTTTGAATTTCCTCAAAATGATGGATGGCCATTGCTCTGATCCTTTACTGTGTAATTGTTGGTTGTTGGTGGGGTTATATTTCCTTGATTTCTCATGTTTCTTGTGTCTGCTTATCTGCTCTGAATGTGCAGACTTGCTCTATGGCTTCCAGACGGAGTCTTCAGCAGTCTCCCCACAGAACTTTCTCTTAAGGTCTTGGGATGTTGGAGGACTGCTTACCTTTGCAGCAGAGACTGCCCTCAAATTTGTGTTATCTTATTAGGCAGAGAAGCTCCTCCAGAACCCTGGTGTAGACTGGACTTTGAACTTACATTTGCAAGCCAGAAGCATTAGAAAATATCCCTGGTTGATAAGAAAGATTATTTGTATTAGTTAGTGCACCTTGCAAGAATGTCTGTTACTCCAGGTGGTTTTGCTTTACTAAAATGACATTTTCATCACACTCTATGTGCAGCATGCCGATCCTGAGGCCTGCAGCCGCAACCTCGCAGGCCTGGCACCACACCAAGCCCAGCCTCGCTTACTGGACGTCAGTGCGTTCTGGGGGCTTGATGCACAAGAACAGTGCATGGGAATAAAGGAAGAGGAGTACGGGGTTTATCGATGAGGGTAAAATTCCATTATTAACTGTCCCAAGAAGTGTGGTGGAGGAAAAGTTTAAGAAAACACGTAAGACTTACACTATTGGTTTTATAAACCTCCCTCAGTGTTTAGAGAAAGGGAAGTGCATTCTTTGGGAATGTGGTTGGCGTCAGCAGGGGCAGTGACATCCTGTGGCAGCATTCTGCTTGCAAGATGTCAGAACACTAGGATGGATAAGCCCTGTGTGTGAGGCCACGTGGCTGCTCACGCTGATGCTTGCACAGAGCTAGAGTGTGGCCCAGAGTTAGGGTGTTCTTTGCAGAGGGTCCTCAGATGGAGAGAACAAAGCAGGGGATGTTCTGGGGGGCGAAGGTCCTCAGATGCTGAGAAAAATGCAGTCCCTCAAACATATAGTTCATTCTGTCTTACTCAGTTGTCTATACCACAGTTCTGGTTAAATTCAACCCATTCAGCCATTGTTTCTACAGTCTGAAGACAAGAACCTTTTTTTTTGTCAGTCCTGGGGCTTGAACTCATGGCCTAGACACTGTCCCTGAGCTTCTTTTGCTTAAGGCTAACACTCTACCACTTGAGCCACAGTGCTACTTCCAGTTTTTTCTATGTATGTGGTACTGAGGAATCGAACCCAAGGTTTCATGCATGCTAGGCAAGCGCTCTACCACTGAGCCACATTTCCAGCCCAAGACAAGAATGTTTATGGGGAGCATGTTAGGTGAAATCCCTGTGGCTCACCCTGATCCTCATGCGATGATTGGATCTGCTGACTATCCCTCTCTCTAGGGAGCTGTTTCCTTCCTTCTGCCTTCCTCCTTGAACTCTGATAGCGTGTCCCTCTTCTTCAACACAAGACTTACCTCCCTAAGATGGCTAGCTGGTTCCAAGCAGTGCAGATAATAGTTGCAATTCAAGTAAATTAAGCAAATAATTCCAGAAAGTATCAATACACAATACTGAAAACACTTTGGTTTGGCAGAAAAGAGTACTTTTTCTCACGCTGTCAATGGACTATAGGCCCTGACCCGGTTGAGTTCCTGGGACTCTCAGCTGCATCCACTTCCTTTCTTTGCTATGAACAAGCCAGGCAGGGCCCTTGCTTTTGCTGCTCCTTTGGCCTACGTTGCTCCTCCCCCAGATAAACACACCTCTCTGTGATTAATATGTCAGCTGCCTGAACAATCTACCTTTGCTCATGTTTCTCTGGCACCTGTGTACATCTGCCATACCATACGCCTTTTTCTTTATTGTATTTATTGTCTGCCTCCTGTGACAAGATATGAATCCCACAAGGCAAGGGCTTTGCCTGTTCTGATCACAGCTGTATCTCCTATGGCTGAGCAGTGCTCGGCACGGGGTAGCTCCTTTGTGAGTATTTGTGAAAGGAGTAAATCAACGGGCATGGTGTAAAGGAGACTCAGAAGACCAGGTCGTCTGTACAGCGTTCACCCCTTGTTAGATACTGTTGAGCTGATCACTTACCATCTTGTATGCTCCAGTTCCTTCCAGATGTAGTATGAGGGGAATAACCTTCATTCTGCCAGTCTTGCTGGTCAGGATTAAATGAAAGCAAATGTTCAATGTTCTTTTTATAGCATATCACACAAACTTGAAGTAACTCCTAACTGTACTCTTTAAAAGGAGAGAGCATGGACAGCCCAGCTCGCTGAGGGCTGATGCGGGACTGTCCTCGGAGGACTTACACCAACACGGATGCTTGTTGGTGTTTAAACGCTTGGTTTTTGCCTGTCAGAATAGTAATGTGGGTCGCTGACTACAGAACTCATTAGTGAGTGTGGAGTCTTCCCGTATACTTTACAACCATTTGAATTAATTTTTTATTTCCACGAAGAATCAAGAATTATTCTACAGATTAATAATTCTGAAACAAAAAATTTGCATCTAAAATGATCAAGTGACCTAGTTACATAAGCAGCCTTTCTTCCTCCACCTTATTTGTTACCTTTGTATGATCTGAAGTGTGTTGGAGGTAGAAGGCTTGTGGTGAGGGAGTTCACCACAACAACCCTGTGAGGGAAAAGTGTGAACCTGCACTGGGCCGTCGAGGGGGAGACTGGTGTGGAGGCTCAGCAGCTGCTCTTCTGAAGAGGAAGAGGAGGAGGGTTGGGGGTCTTCACACTCCTGACCAGGGGGTCTGAAACTGAAGAGGAAAACGCAAGGGGCTGCTGGTCTATGAAGCAGAAAACAACTTCTTCACTGGTAAGTTTTCATTTGCCTGGGGATCCAGAAAGATAGTATTTCTTTGTAAATTTTACACTTTGTAGGCAAAAACCAATTATTGCAGTAGTTTGTATCATTGAGCCTCACATCCACTGAGCACACATTTATTTGGATTCGATCAATCAAGTGAGGAAGAGAAGAGACGGCCTGTGGCTGCGTCTCCTGTGAGCTGTCCTGTGAGCTGTACCGTCCTGCAGAGATTTCAGAGGAGTTATGGGATGGAATTTCAGCTGAGATGCTGTTCTCGGAGTGTGGGAGACAGGCAGATGCTTCCTCACATGGCAGGGAAGGGATAAGGGTCCAAGACTCAGGGTCTGTTTCAGACATTGAATACTGACCTTTAACTCCCTGTGCCCCAGGGGATGGTGGCCAGCATTGACCGAGAACTAGCGAATGGCCAATGCAAGGACGTTGGCATGGAGTCTATAAGCAGTGGCGACCTGTGGAGGAGCAGGCTTCTATTTCAGCCATAACTAGAAAGAAGAAATGCAGTTGCCACAAACCCAAGCAAGCGGGCACAGTTACACAGTGAATGGACGGAGGAGGGCTGGTGGTGGGGGACGTGGGGTGGGGCTGGAGGGGAGGGCAGGCATGCAGGGAGAGGCCAGGGCCAGGAGGGGAGGCTCCGCAGTGGCACACAGGGCTGAGGAAGAAGAGGGCCCGGGCTGGGGTGGCTCATGGGATGCTGTGGCCTGCCTGAGGCCAGCTGAGGGTCTGCTCGGGAGGACTCCTGGGCTCCCATTCATCAGAAGAAGTTCTCCAGATCACCTCATCTTCCAGGCGAAAGTGACAGGTGGGCGGCACTTCGCAGTGTGTCTGTGTCGCGGAGATGCTGTTTACATGGCCGTCGTGGTGTGTGCTAGAACCTTGCCTGTCTTCTATTAGGTGTCCTCACTTACCTGGAAATCTCTGACAGGCCGAGAAAGAGGAAATGAGCAGAAAAAGAGCCTCAGCCCCGAAAGTAGCTGCCACAGCCCTTGTCCTCTGCCCCGGGTGCCCCTGTCCCAGGGGACTCTCCCAGGTGCACTGTTAAATTCGCCAAATCTTATTTTAAGCACAGTTCCGATAAAGAGGATGATCTGGTTTCCTACCGCAGAGCAGAAAGCTAGAGACGGGAATGTGAACGACCGCAGTTACACACAGTAGAGGTGAGGAGGCCCGGTAGGCCCAGGGCTGCCGTCAAAGATAGCCACAGCAACGCGGTGCCGGGTTGTTCTGTGCGGTGGCCGCACCGGAGGTCTGCGCCTGTGAGGCCCCTTGCCCTCGGCGGTGGTCGAGCAGGACGGCAAGGTGGGCTGTAGTGTGGATTTTACTGGAGGCTGAGAACACACCAGACTTTATGGCGCAGGCAGGGATTGCCCAGATCTCACACTGTAGAATATTTACAGCAAAGACTATCCACCTCCTTTGAAGGCTAGCTAGGAAAGACTTCCTAAAGAACCAGCATTTGATTGGTCATTGATGTATTGCTCCACAAACCCAGTGCGTTAGGCAGAGTTCACAGGTGACAGGGCGAGAGGCAGACATCATAATCTGATGAGAACCGGGCATTGGTGGCTCATGCTTATCATCCTGGCTACTCAGGAGTCTGAGATATAAGGACCTTGGTTCAAAGCATGACCACCAAAAAGAGTCCATGAGATGCATCTCCAAAAAGCCAGAATAGAGGTGTGGCTCAAGTGGTAGGTCACCGGGCTTGAGAGAAAAAGCCAAGTGAGAGCGCTAAGTCCAGAGCTCCAGTACTGGCACAATAAAAATCAGATGAGGATTGTGTAGCCCGAAAGGGGGGGTGCCTACGTGACACTTGCTCCTGTGTGCTTTTGTAAATGTTCTCTTCGGTGAGGAGTGAGAAGCTGTGTCTGTGAAGAAAGAGGAAAGGGAATGAAGACAGAAGGCCGAGCAGGTGGCAGAAGAGCCTCACAATAAAGGTGAAGGGAGATGCTGGGTAGATGGGCAAGGCTGTACGGACAGCTAGGCAGGGGCGGGAGGCTGGCTGAGCAGGGCTTGCCCACAGCCCGTGGTGTAGAGGACCTGGAACTCCATGTGGGTGGCTTCTGAGCAACTTCTGCATCCCCCCCCGTCCCCGCCCTGCCCAGCCCAGCCCCATCTCCTCTGTGCCTCTGCGCCTCTGTGGGCTCGAGGCACAGGGAGCTCACCCCCTCATCCCCCACCGTCTTGCTGGCTGGTGGAGATTCAGGAGCTGCGAGGAGACCTAGCCTGAGCAGTTGGAGGGAGCCTTTGGGCCTGCTGCTCAGGCGTGGTTGACCGTACACCCCAAAGGAGCATGTGCAGTAGATATGCATGGGGTGGGGGCTTGGCTTCCTCTGCTGGCCTGTAGGCTCAGCCCCTATGTGCTGACACCGTGGAGGGCGATAGTGCGCAGCCTGGACTTCCTTCCCATGTCAAAACCTCGATCTGAAGGGATCTGGCCATGTTAGGTGGTGGCAGCCACGGAGTCGCTGAGCCATGAGCAGCTGCTGGCTGCTGGCTGCTGGGACAGCCGGTCCCCCCAGGCTGGGGCTCTGTCACCACCACTGGCCCTTCCCCTCAAACACATGGGGCTGAATCTGGGTCAGTGCGCCATGCAGTAGAGTCCCAGGCCTGTGCTTGATGATGGCCTCACGGGATAAAGGGAGGTTTTAAACACAATTTTTTATTGGCTGGTCCTGGGGCTTGAACTCATGGCTGAGCACTGTCCCTTAAGACTGTTATCTAAAGTGCATGCTCTTCCACTTGAGCCACAGCACCACTTTTGGTGAGTTAATTAGACATAAGAGGGTCACGGGCTTTTCTGCCTAGGCTGGACTTGAACCATGACCCTCAGATCTCAGCCTGCTCAGTTGTTAGGATTAGAGGCACCTGGCTCACTAGACAACAATTTATATGTGGACTTATCTGACACAACATCATTCTAGAAAAGTCTCCAGCTTAAAAAGAATGCATGGTTTTCATGTTTCTTTCTGGTTGATAAATAGACATTTTAGTAAGTCTAAAAATAGGTTTTTTTTTGGTCAGTCGTGGGGCTTGAACTCCCGGCCTGGGTGCTGTCCTTCAGCTCTTCAGCTCAAGGCAAGTGCTCTACCACTTGAGCCACAGCACCACTTCCAGTTTTCTGGTGGTTAATTGGAGATAAGAGTCTCAGGCTGGCTTTGAACCATAATCCTCAGATCTCAGCCTCCTGAGTAGCTAGGATTACAGGTGTGAGCCACCCAAGCCCAGCTAGTTTTTTTTTTAATGTGTGTTTAATCAAATGAATATGTAGAACCTGTAAGATAAACTGATTAACATCCACTGCTGAGCACTAGATGCAAAGAGGGCTTGGAGTCTCAGGCTTCAGGCGGGGAGAGAGACAGAGGACTTGAAGCTGGCAGGTTGCTCAATATCCCTTCCTGTCTGCATTGGGTGCACCTTGTAAGCTGGCCCCCTGGGCCCTGGGTCTGTGAGCTCGCCTGCTGTTCCTGTGTTCAATCACCCTCGTGGAATAGTTCTGTGATACTTTGAAGAAAGTCAGTTGCACTGAAAGCTGGATCGAGAGCCACTGAGAGTGATTTCCTGATTTCCTGAGCTATATTCATCTCAGTCCACACTGCCTCTGCTCTACTTCGATGGCCTAGGGTCTTTCCTGCTGTTTCCCATGTCTGCCTTGCAGGAAAAGCTCTAGTTCTAGTTCCCTGTTCTGCAACCCATAGCAAGGTATGGGGATGGCCAGGGCTGTCAACACTGGGCTCTGTGCCCAGCAGCGGGCATTGGTACCACCTGCAGCAGCCACACTGTTACTGAGCACATTGCTCATTGTACAAGCAGCCGGACTCCGCATGGAAAGCAGAAACTCCTTTCTTACACTTTGACCTTGCTGAACCACGACTGTCAGGTGGGCATAACCCATCAGGTGGTCATCATGCCTGTCAGTAGGCCGCAGGGAGGGCGGTACTTCCTCTAATTCCGGAGAGTGTGATAATCCTTCTTTCTTCTTGCACATCTTCTGGTCCAGGCTTTCCTTCCAGGTTGGCTGAGATCAAACCATCCTTTCCCCTCTCCAGACCCTTGTCATTGCTCATCTTCCCCTTGGCTTCCTGCCCACCTGGAGTTGACGCCGAGTGTCATGGCTTCTCCCTTCTCCTTTGCGTGAGCCCTTACCTGCAGGGTCACAGGGCATTGCTCCCTAATCCTAGATGAGATTGTCTCTGTGAGCCCCGGTGTGCCTAGCTGCCTCAGGCTTTCAGTGATCTCCACATCACAGGAAGCCCCTGGCACATGGGGAGACTTGGCCACCCAAACCTAACATCCAGACTGGAGAAGCAGCGGGAAGGTCAGCTGTCACAAGTGTTGCCCTTTTTCCCTCAGGTTAGGGTCGACTGCTGCTGTCCCCTCAGTGAGTCCAGGGCTGTCACCGGGGGCTAATGTTTCCTCTGACTAGCTGAGGGTGGATCATGAAGTCAGGACTCCAGGGCTGGAGACTGGAGAGGCTCAGGGGTGCACTTCCTGTCCTTTACCATTCCAGTGTGTCTCTCCCACATCCTCCACCCTCTCTGTCTCTCGCAGTCTCTGCCTCTCCATCCCGTGAGTCTCTGGAACTCCAGGTCTCTGCGTGTCCATCTCTGGCCTGGACCGGCACAACAACAAAACGTTTCTCATGCCTGCTGCCCTCTATAACTTTGTTCCTCTTTCTGTGTGTCTGGGAATTCTGACAGTATCTACAGCCGGGGTGGTGCTCTCTCCACATCTTCCTGAAGAGAACTTCCCCCTAGACACTCAGACAGTGCTTATTCTCAGATGTTGTGAGGTGGAGTGACCGGACACACAGGTCAGTCTTCTGTCCTCAGTCTCCCCTCCCTACATAGCTCTTTGAGCTCATTTCCCCCTTTCCTTCCCCACTAACCCAGCACTGGTTTTTGAATCACCTGAACTCTGTGTCATTTTTCCTAATGTTGACCTTGTCTCCATCAGCGCGGCCGGCCTGCTGGGCACCCACCTGCCCTCTGTGCCCGGGGGGAAGCTCTCTGTATCCATTCATTATTGTGCCTCCACTTAGGGATCTGTAATAAGAACCATGAAGTCGCTCTTGCCTCAAGCCCTCTGCAGACGGCTTCCAACCTGCGTGTTTGTCCTAAGTCATCCATGCAGAGGGGTTAACATAAAACCCCACTGACACTGGCCGTCGAATTGAAAGTCATGCTGGGAAGGCCAGGCATCTGCACTGACACACATGTGTGTGTGTAATTCCATGAACCTTAAATGAAGCTCACTTCTGTCCCCCCTGAGACAGAAAGTTGAGGGTTAAAGACACACAACTTGGATTGTGTCACTAGTGTTGTGGATTTGTGCCTCGGCTTCCTATGTGTTCCTGTAACTTTTCTTCTATGTGGAAATAACTGGATGAGAGACAAGTGTCCAGCCCCAAGTTCCCCATTTCTGTACAGAGAGGGATATCCATATCATTCTGATTTTCCCTCTGCTAGTTCCTGATCGAGTTTTCAAAATAAATGCCACTTCCTCAGTCTTATCCCAGAAACGGGGCTGGCACAGTGTGGCTTTGGGGCTTGGATCTCCGGGTTATTGGGTGATGGGATAGAGAGTTGCTTCATGTACCCAGGTTGCAGTCTCTTCTCCAATGATGGGGAGAGTCCTGGAGGTGCAGAGAATTCCTGTAAGCGTCAGAGTGCACGCGGGAGGGCATGCACGAGGGGGGGGGGCGCGGACAGGGGGGGCGCGGGGGGCACACACCCCCCCCCGGGCCGGCCCAGGTGCCCCCGTCAGGGCCTGGGACACCCTCCACCTGCTGCTCCACCCCACCCCATGTGTGTCTTCTGGGTCGCTCCTCTCCTGGTCTGTGCTAGTCTTCTCCAAGCGCCTCGTGGCTGGAGCGCCTCCTCCTCCAGGCTGCCTCCTCCTCCAGGCTGCCTCCTCCTCCGGGCTGCCTCCTCCTCCAGGCTGCCTGCCTCCTCCTCCGGGCTGCCTCCTCCTCCGGGCTGCCTCCTCCTCCGGGCTGCCTCCTCCTCCGGGCTGCCTCCAGGCCCCGCTCCCTGTGTGCCGCCACCTCCACCAGCTGCTATGCCCCGTGGCGCGTCCGTCCCGGTGTGCCTTCTCTCTTCATCATCACTCCTGGCCCTTTGCTCATACAAAGCCGTCCCAGATGGTCTGGAGGCTGCTCTCTCCTTCCAGAGCCCCAAACGCTCTCTTATCAGGGTCTGTGGTCCTACATTTATGCTTTGGCCTCCCCGCTGTCTAGATATCTTGAAGGCAGGAAGTAGGAGGTTACCGTCTAAGCAGCTCAGGTGTGCTGTTCTGCACGTAGGGAGTGCGTGTGAAAGCAGTTTGAACAGGCCAGGCAGGCTGGCTTTCTGATTATGTAGGACACTGCTCATTCTGGGGCACAGAGGACACCACGTCAAAGCTCCCCAAATTCATAGCTCTCCTAACTTGAAATCTTGTAAGATCTAGGCTAAGTGATGAACAGATTCCAATTCTACAAAATACATCTTTGTACTTCCTGAGGCATTTGTGTGTTTTTTTTAAGCAGCGCTGGTTATTTCTGAGATGGGTCTCACTTCCTGCCTGGGTGCAAACCCCAACCATGACCCATTGTAGTTGTTAGGACAGACACAGACCACTGAACCAAGCTGTTAATTGAGAAGGGAGCCTTGATGTATACCTGGGCTAACCCCAGACTGTGAGCACATGATCTCAGCCTCCCTAGTAGTGAGTATTGCAGGATTACAGTCCCTGGCAATAAGCCCGACACAATGTTTAACACACTTCCTCACGTCTGTGACAAGAATCAATACAATTGACCTTGGCCTTTGCTCTAAAGGAAGTTTCCAGGATAGATATTGCCCATATAGAATGCACCACTGTCTTCTGCATGGCTTGTCTTCTGTGTCCCTTACGGTGTCCATGTAGATGTTTGGCATGATCATAAATTTGAGGA